GTCGGGACTTGTGTACGCGCGGTACCTGATATGTGTGTGTGTGTGTATCCTTAAATCGAATTTCTTGTATCTCGAAAAGAAAATGTGTCTCGCATTTTCTTGAAAGCGTCTAACGTGTTACGCTCCGAGCACCGAGTTCACCCCTACATTATTACAGACGCGCACGTATCCATAATACTTTTCTAACACCGTTTTATTATCTACCAAATAGGTCAGTACGTTCTCCGGAGGATTCAAGCCTCGATATCGTACGCTTATCACCTAATGGGATAAAAATCGAATCGTGACTCAGACGAAATATGAACATAAATCGAGCAATTTCTCACGCGTGCGACATGCAAAAGGAAACAACATAAGCTATCGGCCCGCTTTGTACATCATCGATACGTATAACCGGCCGACATCAAAAGGCATCATACACGTCGACGTTGCCATCGACAATACCTAATTCCAATCGGACTAATAGGGAATGGAATTCAATCAACGATGAAATCACGATCGCGTATAGAATTCGACGCTCGCGCGATAATAGTCACCTATAACATCTAGCAAGCGGTCGCGCGATAATCCGTTCAGAATCTCTGTGTTACCTGCATCGCGCCGCGCCACGCCCTGATGCCATGGGAGCAGGGCCGTTGACGTGGAGTTCGGAGAAAATGAAAATTAGCCAAAACGTCAATCAAGCTGTATCGTTCGCCAGCTATGGACCGGGGTGGGAACCAAGTACCCTGAGTAATGAAAAGCAAACGGACCGCTCGATTCGACTCGGGTTGCTCTCGTCGAAAAAGACCAACACACAGGGGCTGACTGTGGCTCGTCAACGTAGACGAAATCGACCACTTGACACTACCTACTCTCGTCGTTCCTCGGGGAATTACCGAGGGCGGTTTAATTGTTGATATCGATGGTACATTGTTATAGCATGGAAGGACCCGTGACTAAATCAAATATTTTTCAATCATTTAAATGAACGCGTGTTAAGATGCTCTTCAGTATTACTGTTGCAGTTATCAAATAAAAATGTAGTTCCAAAAATCGGTTTCCGATGTGAGATACTTTTCTCTAATGAAGAGTACAAAGTGTTATACTTCAACCAATAATTTTGTGCAATTATATTCTGGATATATATATTCTGCAAATAAATATTCTGGAGCATACCTCGACTTCAATAACTATCTTATTATGTTCTCGTCCTCTTCTATGACTGTCAGAAGTGGCTGATCGTCGAAGTCTAATATAAGATGCCACCGATTGGCGCTTAAGACAGTACGAGGTGGACATGAGCAACATTTCATCAATATGATTGAACTTAATACAAAGACAATTATTTATCTCGTTTTCAAATTACTTATAAATTACTTGTATATACAGGGAAATTGATTTCTGACTTCTATACTTGGAACAGGAAATCGATATCAATCGCACACGGTCTACCAGAGAAGTTTTAATCCAGACGCTCTTTGTATCATATCGGGATCATTATTTTCGTCAACGCGGCCGCGGCACGGCTATTCGAGACGACTAGTAGTCTCGGTCGTAGTTAGGTCAGCCAAGTGATCCGAAATCCGACGGAAACACGAAACGGTATTATGCGTGTCTCGAGTCGATACAACGCGTCCCGTCGTTTCACGACGTAATGTATTAATTACGAATACCATTCCGCGATCGACCATGATACTCCTACGAACGCTTCTATAGGTTTATATCGGTTCGCTGCTCCCGATTCGCCTCAGGACCGAGCAATCAAAGTGAATTCGTGATTTCATTGTCCCTATAATCCACGACCGGATTGAATAAGACGATTGTTACCGAATGTATCAGCGATCCTCTTCTTTTCAATTACTCTCTTTACTGTTTACTTGTACATCGCTAATTTACGTACTTCCTGTGATTTTCATACATAGATTTTATGTATCAAGCTTGATAGATTGAATCCAGCAATTTGTTGTCAATTACCGTTATTATATCCTATCATCCTAACGTTGAAGAATACTTGTAACATTCGATACAATGGAAAAGTAATTCTCCTCGTTAATGCAATTTTCCAATAAATTGCATACAAGGTGTCCCAAAATAATGTATTTTATTTTTATTAATTAAATAATGTCTATAGATTCTATTAGATTTTGACAGTGAAATATATTTTAATAAACACCGACTATAGGATTAAAGTGTATACACATTTTTTTGGGACAGCCTGTATTTCCTGTTTGCCACGCAATTCTATGTTACCATCGTACAATCTTTGAGGATTCGTTCTATTTCACGATTGAATCGAACGGCGGAGGACATTGACCTCAAGAGATTTCTAGCGTGATGCTTTGTTTTCGGGTTACGTACGTACGTTCGTGCGTGTGCACGTACCATCACGCAACCGTGTTATAATAGACAAACAAGCGGCGGCGAACAAGAGCGAATAGAAGCACGACGCGACGGGCCAATTTCCCAGCGAAACGAAGCGCCGCGCCGCATCGCATAGCATCAGAGATAAAGTCGTGAAGAAATAGTCGAACCTGTCTTTTCCCGGATAAGTTCAATTACATTAAATCACAACGGAGATACTCCAGTACCCCCCGCGATTGTGTACGTCGACTAGCTGTTCCCCAGTACAGATCTGATTGAGGATTTTACTTCAAATTGGAGTTGCCTTATCTGTCATAGGGAAATAGAGGCACGTAGCTGCTTTGCGTGCAGCAAAAATTTTTTACGACTTCTACATCGAATTTGTAGTTGACTATGTATATATATGTATATATCATATATAAATCATGCTTATATTATATATTTCCAACTTTTCTCTGTTATCCTAATTTGGTATAATTTATATTAAAAACAAATGACGTCAATGAATTTGATTAATATACAATGATTTGATTATGATATAATATTGATTATGATACAATGATTTATAATGTGATTTTCTTGTACAAAATGCATAAAACAATTATTATTGTTTTCAATCTGTGCAGGCAGTGTGGGGCCACGTAGAATTGGAGTCAATGAGTAATTGCGATGATCTCAAAATCTCCACGTGGCGACCATCGAATAATGGGAAGTGTTTGCATTTTTCTCTCAGGCTCATGGTTCGCTCGCAAGGAAGAACCATTGTAACTTTTCACTGAACCTCCTCTCCCGAGAGAGAATGTTAGCCGAGGGAAGAAAAAGAGAGGACGCGACGGAAGTCGAGCGAGAAATTATTTGTGCGTTAAATCGCACCATCTTTCTCTCCCTCTTTTTTTGACGCAAAATAAAAGCAAGTTTACTCTCTCTTAGGTCAATCCTAACGATTGTGTAATGTGAAAAATGTTCAACAAAGGTGAATGCATTAGGCAAAAACTGTACTTATTTACTCAAAGCGTGTACGAACAAACATAATGGGAAACTGTAGCTATTTTTTTGTCTCTCAATTCGAATTAAATCTTTAAGACAAGATCGTTTACATTGATTCAGCAATAAACTTCAATGTATTTCAAGTGAAAAGCATAAATTGGAAAAGGAGTAAGACAAGTGAACTAATTGTAAGACAGTAATTCGAAAGATAAATGACAATGATTAACACTGCCTCGTTCACGTAAATAGCTGTCACGTCAGAATTTGTTACCTCTTAGTAACGAGGGATGGGAATAGATGGCTGGACGTCGGAAATCTAAATTATGTCTTCAAGACAAGTTTAGACTGTTCATTTTTATCTTTCAATTCGTAGCGACAGCAATGTACTTGAATATGTTTCCATTATAATGAAAATCATAAATTGAAATAGGAGCAAGACAAGTAAACTAAGCCAGTGATTAAAAAAATAAATGAAAATCATTAACACTGTCTTGTTAAATCGCATAAGCACCTGTCACGTCAGAATTTGTTCGCCCTTAATAACGAGGGATGGAAATAAAGGGTAAGTACGTCGGAAAGTTGAATAAAGCGATTGGGAGCTGTGACGCGTTTGCTATGTTCTTTCGCCGTTCTTCTATCAGCTGGTTCGAAGTTCATCAAATTCAATCAAACTGGAAGATATACGAGCTCCATCCTGACACGTATATGGGCTCGCGCCCAGCCTGAAACGTTGCGTCAAAGTGCTCGGGTAGGAAATACATATCATGAATAATACAAGGTGCCGGGTCACTCGGGAGAAAAACGATCGATTTGCAATTCAAACGGTGGATGGTACGTCTTCGCCATGTTGGACCAAAAGAACAACTCGGGCGCGTCCAAATTGTTTAAGATTAATTAAATTTTAAAAGCGTATAGTTCCTTGGCTTCGACGTCAACCATAGTAATTTTTTATCTATGGCATCAGATTACTTCTTAAAAAAATTTTTGCAATGACCAATTGATGTACGAATATTTATACTGACGATAGAAAGATTGAGAGAAGCAGGCGTAGGTAGTTAATAACTCGAACAAAACGGATAACGATGCAAGACGGGACGCGGCTGTTCAATTCTGTTTGTATGAATCTTAAATTGCTTGATTGCGTGGAAATTTGAAATGCAAATATTTTGCGGAAATGCACCCTCCTTCCGAGTAACTTCGTTGCGGTGAACACTCCCGAAGTATTATTGAAATCCCCGTTTCTTGTTCGTCGATTCGCGTAATAATAAACTTGCCCCAATTATTCCGCGCGCGTTGCTCGCCGAGTTGACCGTCTTTTCGTAGAAATTTCGACGGGACCGCGTTGTTATAATACGCCCGGTACGAAACACGTTGTTTCGGTTCTACATACATACAATTATCACGGGCAGAAGCTGTGAAACAGAGCAGCCTGGGAAACAATTACGGGAAGGTGCGTGTTAATTTCCTAACAACCCGTTCTGAACTCAACGAATGTTAATTGTCATTAAATTTATCATATAAAATCTACAAAATTTTATTCTTTCTAAATTTGCTAAAAACTAATTTCCTTTTTACGATTATTGACGACGTTTTAACGTGATGATTAAGTGAAAGCCTTTCGTGGATTGAATCAAGTATTTCTTATAGCTCTTAATCGAATCGGCACTTACCAAAAGAAATGATAAAACAGACAAGTATGGGAAGAGAAGTAGACATCGCTTATCCTCGGCGAGGTTCCTTCACATATTGATAATACTATCTCACACGCGTCTCAGTCATCTCACTGTATCACGCATCCTTGATGGGAGTACGCTAACGTCGACAGTCTCACGATCGGATTGTTGTCATTTCACGTGATCATCCTCGTGAAGACTCGATTGAATCGCGCACTGACACACTTCTTCCCATTCGACTAGACTGACTAGAGCGTCATGATCTCCCGTTATCTATCGACGATAAGTTGGCTCGGATCGTCACTGACTCGGCTCGTTCACTCGCGAGCACCGCTGGAAGGAGGAGAATCAACCGAAATGAAGCGATTAAATAAATAAATAACAAAGTCGTTCTCGTTGCACTGTGCGGTTTCAACGCTCCAACTTGACCGAGTTCGCTACTTTTTTTTCTTCTTTCCCGTTCGCCTCGCTTTTCATCCCTCCTCCCTACCTCTTTCTCTCTATCTCTCTCTCTCTCTCTCTCTCTCTCCTCCCGAAAAACAAAAACCCTCGCTGCTCGCGTCGGGTTCGGATACGGATAAGTACGAAGGGGTGGAATTCGCGGCCGAGCTATTCCCTGCAAGCCGGGGAAAATGTAACCCGAACGCGACGGCTGCAGCGTTGTAGCGCGCGCGAGAACCGCTAATGAATGTAATTAACGGCGGGGAGTATTTCGTCAGCGCGTTAGCAGTTTGCGCTGCCCTAAGATCGCTCGGCGAAGTGGGAACACCGGAATCGTGCGGACGACTTCGTGCTTCGCGCAGCGTTCCCTACCGCAAACCTTGTTCCTGATGCATTAGGCGAGACTCGTTATAGTAATTTTCTCGAACCGCCAGACGTTTCATCGATCATTCCTCCTCGCGGTGGTTTCCTCCAAACTAATTGCCTTTTAAAATTGTCGGACTTTGACATAGGTTGTTCTGTATGATAAGACAATAGGAAATTTTGAATAAAAAAGTGCCGAGAAACTGATAAGATTAATTATACAAAAATGATTATAATAGCGAAATTATAAATTCGTTAGTAAAGATAGAACAGGTCGTATAATAATCTATAAATAAACTCAAGAAAGCGTAAAGAAACACTGACTCAGCAAATTCATTCTCTCATTTGTTAGTGTGAGAGGAGGGATGAGAATGCGAGGTAAAGACTTTCCACACCGTTGTAGTAGCAAGTAGAACGGAATCACAGAAACTGGAGAATAAACAGGGGTTGACGATCGTCCCTGATCCGCCGACACCTTTTTTAACTTGAACATCCCCCGAGACTCGAGAAGGTCTCCACACGGGACCGACCCTATCTTAGCAGTCGTCGCGTAAAAAGCACTCGAGTTCACGCGCGTGCCGCATTCGCTTCCTATCGGCGCCTCGAAAACCAATTTCTTCACTCTCTCATAACACTTCCAGTCGTTCGCTGTTCGTGGATGTTCTTTATTCACATCCCGATAATTTCCAGGTTCCACTCGAGTAACGATATTAATTAAAGCCAGAGGATTTCCTCTGGAACACCTGACAATTGTCTCTATTTAAGACCGGCGGAGCGTTCCTCTCTTTGAGCGACCGGGAACTCTTCCTCTTTTATTGGACGTGAAACTTTCTTTTAACTCCGCTGAAATAATGAAATTGATCGAAGCCAGAGAATCTCGTGGGTAATAGATTTCGTCCCTGCGAGAGAAATCTTCTTACGTTTCTTTCGACGTTTCTCCGCGTTGTAGTTCAATTTCCGTAATTGTCGTTGTTTCGTTGAGACGTTCCACGGGATATGTCGGAGGATCAAAGAAATTCCTGAGTCGCGTCGAGGAGTACCCGGTCGTTCCCGGAAATCTTGCTCGTCCCATTCAGCGTGAATCGAGGGAGCGGCTGGAGGATATTCGTGCCAAGTTCGATCGAGCCACTGAACGCGATAACCGTACGTCACCTAGTTTCGTTCACAAACCACTGTCACGAGTCTTTTATACGCGGACTCGGCCAATCGCTCGGCAGAAGTTCGACTTCCAACTTAGTCCAGGACCTCCCTGTGTCTGGCTTTGAATACGAGCCAGCGAACAGGTTCCCAACGCGTCTTAAACGTCTCACACTAAATCTAAGTCGCTCCTCGCTGGGAACATCTTACCATTTGACACCAGGAAGGTGGATCATAAAAAAGATCTCAGATCCAACACCTTTGATTTCCAGATGAAAAATGCAACTACAATCGGAGCGTTCTACGTAGAAGCGAATAGGTTTCCAAGAAGTCTTGAATTACACTGAATTATCTTGTCAGACGACACTGAGTCTAGTTGCGAGTACGATAGAATTTGGTTTTAACATCTTTAATTGCGTTCGACGACAAAGATCGAGTCCGCGTGGGAACGATCCTGACGAGTGTTCCGAGCGTTGTACGATGTATCAAAGTGCAGTGCACAATGCGCGTAAGCCCGCGTCACATAAACCACCTTGTCCTGGTCAGCGTTAGATACGGGCTCTATCAGCCAGGATCACGATTCGCAGTCTTTGTCGCGGAACACAGACGTACTCCCGGGAATCTATTTGTATCGCCTCGTGTGTAAGTCCACAATCGTACAGATACACTTCTTCGGATGAAGAATGACACGTACGTAAGAGAGAATGCAAGGAAAGAGGGAGACAATTGCGGACACTTTAGGCTTAAATGCACTCGGTTAGAACTGAGAATCACAATTCCCCGGTAACGTCACAGCAGCACATTTCGAACCTCGATCCGCATCGTGCATTCACTTCGAGATCGTGATGATTCCTCTCGCTGTCAAGGTTCAGATCGACACGGTTCCAAACGACGAAACGACGCGAATCACTGATCGGTCCGAGTCCGCTGGCCTTTTGGTGTCGCCCCGTTTCCGGTGTCTCGTTGCGTGCCGTTACTTTGACGTTTTCGAGGGAAAGCGCGCGTTGCAACGCGACGCGACGGGAGAAGGTCGCGGATGTTTCAAAACGGCGATGCTCCCGCGTGAAGGATAGCCGAGGGACTACATTGCGCGAGCGCGAGCGCCGCTCGAGCCTCGAGCACGCAGCCGCCCCGCGCTCCCCCTCTGCGACCACCAACGGCTCGCCCCGAGCATGTATAGGTGAGAGCGCGTGCGCGCCTGCCTTACCTGTGTCCGACTCCCTATATCTCGTATGTACCTTGCTTATGTATCGGGCAACCCTTCCAGCCGCCACCCTTCTTCGCTTCCACTCCCTCGCTTCCTACCTTCTTTCACCTTTTCTCCACTCACGCGTTTCGCATCCCATGCTGCTCTTCCGGTTTCTTTCGCTCTTCGATCTTCTTCCTTCTCCGCTATACTGCCTTCTTCGCCTGTACTTCGATCGCTTCTCCCCTCGTTCCTTTCGTGCGCATAATTGCCGTAAAGGAGATACGCGGATCGAGGTGGTTAATCACTATCCAATTTCGATTTAATTGAAAATATCGAGGATAATGGATGGGCTGGATTCTCGGCGGCGTTTCAAGAATTCCAAAAATACTTCTCGCTCCTCTGACGGTGAAGCGCACCGTTGGTAGATCGTTCCCGCATCTGCATGTCCTTTAGTGGACCGAGAACCGAGTTTCCGTTGGAATAGAAAATGCGAATATTAGAGACTTGTCTATGCGAGATCGATATGTATATTCAGGAGTTCTCCGAATAGCCCGCGAGTTTCCGCTCCGTAGAAAATTTATCGTACGTCGAACGACGTCCATTAATTCCACCAACTTTCTTCGATGGTCATATTACGTTATCAACAGACTCCAGAAATTACTAAGATCTTCTATAAATAAATACATATTCCCTAAATTGTTACATGTGGTTCCTTACATCGTCACGTGCTTTTTGAACCAATTTCTTTTATAGGTACGCATTTTATAACTCCAGAAATTACAAAAATACATTTCTTCTATAAATAAATAAAATATCCTTCTTAAATTGTGACACGTGGTTCTTTACATCAGCACATGTATTGCTAACAGAAAAATATCTTGTCACATTTTCAAACAGTCGAATGAATTTCAAGTCAAATGCGAGTTTTATGCGTTATAGTTGTATAGATCCCTGTTTAATGAATTGAAACGCCTAAACTTATGATCTAAAGGGAATCGTTCAAAATTCTCTCTCCTTCCCATCGATACGAATGGACGCATTGATTTTGATGAAATTTGTATAGCCAACGAGTTTTAACGGACGACTGTCGAGCGTTTGTCAACGTTCGCTATTACGCGGTCGCGTCCATTTGTGAGGACGGAAACCGCGGCACTTACGCTGCTTCCAAAACTGTCGAAGCTATTTCGACGATACTGCGATCTCGACGCGGACCGACCGATTTGCGTTACCTATGCTAAAACAGGTTTCCAATTGTATGAATATTAACATAAATAGAAAGTGCAGCACCTGTTGAAAGGTATTCTACATTTTAGCTTATGTATAAACCAGAACAACGAAATTAAATATTTCGTTGTGGAAATCTTATAAATAAATACATATTCCCTAAATTGTTACATGTGGTTCCTTACATCGTCACGTGCTTTTTGAACCAATTTCTTTTATAGGTACGCATTTTATAACTCCAGAAATTACAAAAATACATTTCTTCTATAAATAAATAAAATATCCTTCTTAAATTGTGACACGTGGTTCTTTACATCAGCACATGTATTGCTAACAGAAAAATATCTTGTCACATTTTCAAACAGTCGAATGAATTTCAAGTCAAATGCGAGTTTTATGCGTTATAGTTGTATAGATCCCTGTTTAATGAATTGAAACGCCTAAACTTATGATCTAAAGGGAATCGTTCAAAATTCTCTCTCCTTCCCATCGATACGAATGGACGCATTGATTTTGATGAAATTTGTATAGCCAACGAGTTTTAACGGACGACTGTCGAGCGTTTGTCAACGTTCGCTATTACGCGGTCGCGTCCATTTGTGAGGACGGAAACCGCGGCACTTACGCTGCTTCCAAAACTGTCGAAGCTATTTCGACGATACTGCGATCTCGACGCGGACCGACCGATTTGCGTTACCTATGCTAAAACAGGTTTCCAATTGTATGAATATTAACATAAATAGAAAGTGCAGCACCTGTTGAAAGGTATTCTACATTTTAGCTTATGTATAAACCAGAACAACGAAATTAAATATTTCGTTGTGGAAATCATAAGTGGATTTTATGCGTTCTTACCAAAAATTAAATATGCAAAAATTGTAAAAATATTTATATAGCGGGACAAACGTGCATAAAGTATCAATAGCAAAATGCATGGTTCGATGTTTAAAGAGTTAAAGGACATCGTTACTAAATATCAATTTTTAAATTCATACCTTACAAGTTTTAATTTTGTTGAATTAATTAATAATATATACACAAAAACGACTCTTCCCTTAACAACATAACATATTTCTAATGTGAGGCCATTAAGCCTATGACTTTTTATTTTTAAAGGCCTGGGTAATGAACACTACTCAAGGTCAGGGTCTACACTCAGGGTTCACTCTAAATGGGTTCCTAACTTTCTTTAATGCATTAGCTTCTGCTTGACTTTCAGTGCGTTTTTCATAGCGCGGAGACGTCCTTCTTAGTTCGAATAAAGTAAGAGTAAAAAGTGGGATAAAAGAGTTTCATTTATTAACCCATTTCCATGGATTTCTTTTTAAATTGGAAATCAAAGCAAAAGTTATGCAAAAAGGACATAATTTTCTTACGATTACTTTTTTGTCTTTTGTGAATTAAGTACTTAGACAATAAGGAAGAAACTGTAGATTGGAAAGGAAAAGAGTAGAAAGTGGTGAAAATAAGGATGCAGGATGATTAACAAAAGATAAAAAGATTTGTAAGTCAGAAGCCCTTCAGTCTCCAAACGAACGGATGACTAAATAAATAAAATATTAACTCATTTCCAATAATTTTACATAAAAATTCGCAGTCTAATCATAGTAAATTGCTAAAAGCTCTTTTTAGTTATCATTATTTTCCCTTTCTTTCGATGTTACTAATTACGTATTAAGTGTCAGACGTTATGCTGGTAAAGCGATTGCGCTATGTAGGTAATGTAAAGATTCCAATTTATAGGTAACATCTTATCGATAGACGAGGTAGTTACTTTGCGTTTGACGGGAGCACTCGTCTCCATTCCACGGAAAGGAAGCCCTCGAACCGCATTATGCAACGGAAAGCCGAGACTCGTCAGACACCCGAACGTCGTCGCATCGCGTCGTCCTTCTTGCCTCGAATGGAATTTGGATGGAATTTTATTCAGCGCGAGAGTGTCGGCTAAACGTACGAATACGTTTCCCTCTTGACGAATAACAAGCGACGCTCTCCTTTGAGTAAATGTTCCCGGCCCGTGTACACTCCAAGTCAATGACGTTTCAAAGGGATCCTTCCCGGAATCAACATGCCGACTCTTTGAACGTTTTAACGTTACACGTTTATAACTGTGTACAACAACAAATGCACGTGATCATTTTATCATTGCTTAAAAAAATCCCATACACTTATAATTAAACTTGCTATTAAATAAAACTGGGTTAGGTAAATCTGGTTAACAAAATTCCGATTTAAAAATTTCCTCTCGATTTAGCCACTTTTCCCAAGTATCGCTCATTTCGATTTTGTTCTGATAATTATACTTTTCTTGGTAATCGTATTGAATAACACCAATTTTTGTTCATATGGCTTACTAGTGATGTCACGCTAGCATGACAAATTGAATTTTGTAGAGGAATGTACAATAAGTCAACGATAATTAATAATAAGTAGTCGTGCTCTCAGCTTGCCAGTCTGAATATGTATATCCTAGTTCTATTGAGAGAGAACCTTAGCCCTTATAACTAACTACGAAAGTGAGTAATGTGTTTTGGACTTTCGACGAGAAACTGTCAATCAGTATGCAACTGCCTAACGCAACTATCGTTTATGAATCGCGATTCGAACGATTTATGCAACACTTTTATATTAAACGATTTCTATTACTGCAATGGTCAGGCTAAAATGCATTACGCACCTTCGCTTCGTGCATTTTGTACTGAGATCCCAACGATTTTTGACAAAGGCGATAATCTTTGAAATCGTTAAATTTCCCCGCTTATTCTCTCGGCTATAATTCGATGAAAGCTGCGAGTGCTCGCTCGGTCGGAATCTAGAACGAGCGAACATACCTATTGATCTCTTTCTCTTCCACTTTCGCTGCCTTCTGGATTCCTTTCCTCTCGCTCGTCCATTCTCTTTTCCCAGCGACAACGAATTATAGAATGCCTTGTCGTCGCGACGCGATGTCATTTCGAGATCCTTGAAATCTTAACAATTCTAGTGTTAGCTTGTTTGGAAATTCGCGTGTCTAAGAATAAGACTAACTGGATTCTAATAATGGGAGAACGTACGAGCCTACACGTACACCGGTAGAAAATGTTAAATGGTTCTATTTTCTCTGACAAATCTCACGTTATATGGACATAAATCGTGGCAATATTCAGATCTACAATTCTTACAGTGTTCAAGCAAAATCTGTCTCTCTTTAAATGATTTATCAATTTGGAGAACTAGTCATTTTTACCCCTCCGATAGATGTACGTATACGTCAATCTTCTAGCACTAAAACTAGATATAACTATTCAAATATTATAGTAAATAGTTAGTCATGATGTTTCCAATTCTTCTTGTATGTGGAGGATTTATCGACATGAATCAATGCGTATTCGTATTTGTTATACGTTCCTCTAAACGCAGGAAGGAGGGCGACCCCGTTTTTATGTAGTAATCTCCGCGGCGCGAAGCTGAGAACAATCGCAGGAAACGTTCCGCGTCGATCCTTAAAGGAACCACTCGAAGCGCGTTCCAAATGGGCTCGGGGCTGGCTCGGCGGCCGAAACATAGTGCGAGGGTGTGCACGCATCGATCCGGAATTTCCGATATCAGAAGCAAGGGTTACGCCGTGGTGGCACGGTGAACCACTTTGCCAGCGAAATATAGGACGGATCCCTCGCGCG